GAAGGTGCCGGGCAAGAAGGAGGTCTACGTGGCCATCAAGACCCTGAAGGGGGGCTACACGGAGAAGCAGCGGAGGGAGTTCCTGAGCGAGGCCAGCATCATGGGCCAGTTCGAGCACCCCAACATCATCCGGCTGGACGGGGTCATCACCAACAGCGTCCCCGTCATGATCATCACCGAGTTCATGGAGAACGGCGCCTTGGACTCCTTCCTGCGGGTGAGGGAGACCCCGCAAGCCCCGGGGAGGGAGGGAGGGGGGGAGGGAAAGCCCTTTGGGTTTCCCGTTTTGTGTTTAGTTTTATTTTATGTTTCGCTTTATCATTTATTTATTATTTTATTTTATTTTATTTTATAATAGTAGAATAGAATATTTATTTTATTTTATTTTATTGTTTTGTTTTTATTTTATGTTATATTTTATTTTATTATTTCATTGGTTTTTATTTTATTATTTTAGTTTTATTTTATTTTACTATTTATTTTATTTTATAATGGTAGAATAGAATATTTATTTTATTATTTTATTTTGTTTTCATTATTTTTTATATTATTATTTTTTGTTTTGTTTTTGTTTTTATTTTATTTTATTTTAGTTTTATTTTTTACTATTTATTTTAGTTTTATTTTATTATTTTTTATTGTTTCGTTTTTATTTTATTTTATTTTATTATTTTATTTTAGTTTTATTTTATTTTACTATTTTAGTTTTATTTTATTGTATTTTATTATTTTATTTTAGTTTTATTTTATTTTACTATTTTAGTTTTATTTTATTGTATTTTATTATTTTATTTTAGTTTTATTTTATAATAGAATAGAATATTTATTTTATTATTTTATTGTTTTGTTGTTTTTATTTTATTATTTTATATTTTATTTTATTATTGTTTTGTTTTTATTTTATTTTATTATTTTTAGTTTTATTTTATTTTACTATTTATTTTATTTTATTTTATTTTATAATGGTAGAATAGAATATTTTATTATTTTGTTTTATTTTAGTTTACTATTTATTTTAGTTTTATTTTATTATTTTATTTTATAATAGTAGAACAGAATATTTATTTTATTATTTTATTGTTTGGTTTTTATTTTATTTTAGTTTTATTTTAGTTTACTATTTATTTTAGTTTTATTTTATTTTATTTTATCATTTTATTTTATATAATAGTAGAATAGAATATTTATTTTATTATTTTATTTTTTGTTTTGTTTTTATTTTATTTTATTATTTTATTTTAGTTTTATTTTATTTTACTATTTATTTTAGTTTTATTTTATTATTTTATTTTGTTTTGTTTTAATTTAATTTAATTTGTTTTATTTTAGTTTTATGCTGTTTTAATTTAATTCAATTCAATTCAATTCAATTTATTATTTTATTTTATTATTTTATTTATTTCATTGTTTAGTTTTGTGTTATTATTTTATTTTATCCTACCTACCTCATTTTTGCTTAGGAAACGGGGGGGGGGGCTGTCGTGCATTGACTAAGGTGGTCGTCCGAAGGGCTTTTCCCAGGATTCGTTCCCCCAAAAGGCCCACCTGGTACCTTCCGGTTGATACAGGGGTCTCCACCCGTGGCCACTTTAAAATTTCTGGACTTCAACTCCCAGAATTCCCCAGCCAGCATGGGAGATCTTGGGGGGGGCTAGCTACCCCCACATCTGTCCCTGGTGAGATCACTGACGCCATGCCTGGCTGGGGAATTCTGGGAGTTGAAGTCCAGAAATTTTAAAGTGGCCACGGGTGGAGATCCCTAAATCTAGGAAGGTCTTTGCAATCCCACATCTTATTCCTCCCAGCAGCAGCCTGGGGTCCAGGTGGAAAGCCCACCACTATCTGCCCATCCCACTGAGACCCCCCATCCCACTGAAGGGGGTCCTGACTCTCTTTGTTGCCCCCCCTGCAGTTGAACGACGGTCAGTTCACGCCCATCCAGCTGGTGGGGATGCTGCGGGGCATCGCCTCCGGCATGCGCTACCTCTCCGACATGAGCTACGTGCATCGCGACTTGGCCGCCCGTAACATCCTGGTCAACAGTAACCTGGTTTGCAAAGTTTCTGATTTCGGGCTGTCTCGTTTCCTGGAGGAAAACTCGTCAGATCCAACCTACACCAGCTCTTTGGTACGTCGTCGGTCCGTTCTTTTTTCCGCTCCCCGGACACAAAGGGGGGTGGGTGGACTTGGTCCTCTCCCTTCACCCGTTCGTTGCAGGGGGCCGGACTAGATGATCCTCGTGCCCCCTGCCCCCCTCCCCAATTCTACCGTCCCTTTTTCCTCAGGGGGGGAAGATCCCGATCCGCTGGACGGCCCCCGAAGCCATCGCCTTCCGCAAGTTCACCTCCGCCAGCGACGTGTGGAGTTACGGCATTGTGATGTGGGAGGTGATGTCCTTCGGAGAGAGGCCGTATTGGGACATGTCCAATCAGGATGTGAGTGGCCTGGCTTTAGGGGAGGGGTCTGGGGCCCCCCCAAACGCCCCCACCCGGCTTCTCTCTCCCCTTCCCCATTATTTCTAGGCCGGAGAGAAGCAACCTAGAACTCGGGAGAAATTAATTTCCTGACAGGGAGAATAATCAGTGGGACAACTTGCCACCAGAAGTTGTGGGTGCCACATCGCTGCAGGCTTTTAAGAAGAGATTGATTCAGAATGTTATATAGGGTCTCCTGCTTGAGCAGGGGGTTGGACTAGAAGACCTCCAAGGTCCCCCTGTTACTCTGTTATCTCTCCGAGCTTTGCTCCGGCTGATTTGGAGGGAGGGGCTGGTGGCATCCCTGACCTTAATGACCCTCTCCAGACCCTTCGCTGGGCTTTTGACCCACCATTTCAGGGCTGAGTTCCAAATCCTGTCCCTTTTGCACACCTGGTTCACACAACAAGGACAAGGCCGTTTCCCTGACCCGTAGAATTCCTGGTGTCCAGTGTTGGTGTGTCACTTGGAGATTGGCAGCAAGGCCAATCCCTGAAAAGCTGGCCATCTTCTGGGCAATTTCTTCCTCTTCCCAATCGCTGGGTGGTCTCCCATCCAATACCTAATTATTATTCCCATCCCATAACTCTGCTCGGGGTTTTGCTGAGAGTGGCCAGGGTCGTCTGGATGCCGGATGCTTGTTGCAGGACGGGAAAGGAGACACACCGCAAAACACAGCCGCAGCATTTCATTTGCATCCTCGGTGCCACGCAGCGTTGCACCCAGTTTGCGGGTCTCTTAGTTTGGTTGTGCTGTGCTTTATTCTGGCATCTGAAAAAGGGGGACCATTTTTTCCCCTGCGTTCCTTTCCCACCTGCTCCATCCCGATGGTCCTCGATTTTAGCGACCGTTTGACGTTAAAATGACACTGAAGAAAGGGACTTAACGGCCCTTTTTCACACTTACGGCCATTGCAGCGTCCCCGTGGCCAAAATTCAGATGCTTGGCAACTGACTCATATTTATGACGGTCGCAGTGATCCCCTTTTGCCACCTCACGACAAGCTGGATTCGCTTAACAACGGTGTTACTAACTTAAACTGCAGTAATCCAATTAACGGTGGCAAGGTCGTAAAATGGGGCAAAACTCACTTAGCGGCTGTCTCACTTAGTGACTTAGGGCTCAGTGGTGTGGTCGTAAGTCAAGGACCACCTTTTATTTATCTTCTCTGCTGCCTGGATGTTGTGATTTTCCCCGCGGACTCCGATTCCCCCCTCGGCGNGAAGGTGCCGGGCAAGAAGGAGGTCTACGTGGCCATCAAGACCCTGAAGGGGGGCTACACGGAGAAGCAGCGGAGGGAGTTCCTGAGCGAGGCCAGCATCATGGGCCAGTTCGAGCACCCCAACATCATCCGGCTGGACGGGGTCATCACCAACAGCGTCCCCGTCATGATCATCACCGAGTTCATGGAGAACGGCGCCCTGGACTCCTTCCTGCGGGTGAGGGAGACCCCGCAAGCCCCGGGGGGGGAGGGAGGGAGGGAGGGGGGGAGGGAAAGCCCTTTGGGTTTTGTATTTCGTGTTTAGTTTTATTTTATGTTTTGCTTTATCATTTATTTATTATTTTATTTTATTTTATTTTATAATAGTAGAATAGAATATTTATTTTATTTTATTTTATTGTTTTGTTTTTATTTTATGTTATATTTTATTTTATTATTTCATTGGTTTTTATTTTATTATTTTAGTTTTATTTTATTTTACTATTTATTTTATTTTATTTTATAATGGTAGAATAGAATATTTATTTTATTATTTTATTTTGTTTTCATTATTTTTTATATTATTATTTTTTTGTTTTGTTTTTGTTTTTATTTTATTTTAGTTTAGTTTTATTTTTTACTATTTATTTTAGTTTTATTTTATTATTTTTTATTGTTTCGTTTTTATTTTATTTTATTTTATTATTTTATTTTAGTTTTATTTTATTTTACTATTTTAGTTTTATTTTATTGTATTTTATTATTTTATTTTAGTTTTATTTTATTTTACTATTTTAGTTTTATTTTATTATTTTATTTTATTATTTTATTTTATTTTATAATAGAATAGAATATTTATTTTATTATTTTATTGTTTTGTTGTTTTTATTTTATTATTTTATTATTTTATTTTATTATTGTTTTGTTTTTATTTTATTTTATTATTTTTAGTTTTATTTTATTTTACTATTTATTTTATTTTATTTTATTTTATAATGGTAGAATAGAATATTTTATTATTTTGTTTTGTTTTTATTTTATTATTTTATATTTTATTTTATTATTTTATTGTTTTTATTTTAGTTTAGTTTAGTTTAGTTTTATTTTTTTTACTATTTTTTATTTTTATTTTATTATGTTATTTTGTTTTGTTTTAATTTAATTTAATTTGTGTTTTATTTTATTTTTATGTTATTTTAATTTAATTTAATTTATTATTTTATTTTATTTTATTATTATTTTATTTATTTCATTGTCTTGTTTTGTGTTGTTATTTTATTTTATTCTACCTCCCTCCTTTTTGCTTAGGAAAGGGGGGGGGGCTGTCGTGCATTGACTAAGGTGGTCGTCCGAAGGGCTTTTCCCAGGATTCGTTCCCCCAAAAGGCCCACCTGGTACCTTCCGGTTGATACAGGGGTCTCCACCCGTGGCCACTTTAAAATTTCTGGACTTCAACTCCCAGAATTCCCCAGCCAGCATGGGAGATCTTGGGGGGGGCTAGCTACCCCCACATCTGTCCCTGGTGAGATCACTGACGCCATGCCTGGCTGGGGAATTCTGGGAGTTGAAGTCCACCAGTCTTAAAGTGGCCACGGGCGGAGACCCCTAAATCTAGGAGGGTCTTTGCAATCCCGCATCTTATTCCTCCCAGCAGCAGCCTGGGATCCGGGTGGAAAGCCCACCACTATCTGCTCGTCCCACTGAGGGGGGTCTTCAACAACCCCCTATCCCACCTCGTGGGTCCTGACCCTCTTTGTTGCCTCCCCTCCGCAGTTGAACGACGGTCAGTTCACGCCCATCCAGCTGGTGGGGATGCTGCGGGGCATCGCCTCCGGCATGCGCTACCTCTCCGACATGAGCTACGTGCACCGCGACTTGGCCGCCCGTAACATCCTGGTCAACAGTAACCTGGTTTGCAAAGTTTCCGACTTCGGGCTGTCTCGCTTCCTGGAGGAAAACTCCTCGGATCCAACCTACACCAGCTCTTTGGTACGTCGTCGGTCCGTTCTTTTTTCCGCTCCCCGGACACAAAGGGGGGTGGGTGGACTTGGTCCTCTCCCTTCACCCATTCGTTGTAGGGGGCCGGACTAGATGATCCTCGTGCCCCCTGCCCCTCTCCCCAATTCTACCGTCCCTTTTTCCTCAGGGGGGGAAGATCCCGATCCGCTGGACGGCCCCCGAAGCCATCGCCTTCCGCAAGTTCACCTCCGCCAGCGACGTGTGGAGTTACGGCATTGTGATGTGGGAGGTGATGTCCTTCGGAGAGAGGCCGTATTGGGACATGTCCAATCAGGATGTGAGTGGCCTGGCTTTAGGGGAGGGGTCTGGGGCCCCCCCAAACGCCCCCACCCGGCTTCTCTCTCCCCTTCCCCATTATTTCTAGGCCGGAGAGAAGCAACCTAGAACTGCTTGAGCAGGGGGTTGGACTAGAAGACCTCCAAGGTCCCCCTGTTACTCTGTTATCTCTCCGAGCTTTGCTCCGGCTGATTTGGAGGGAGGGGCTGGTGGCATCCCTGACCTTAATGACCCTCTCCAGACCCTTCGCTGGGCTTTTGACCCACCATTTCAGGGCTGAGTTCCAAATCCTGTCCCTTTTGCACACCTGGTTCACACAACAAGGACAAGGCCGTTTCCCTGACCCGTAGAATTCCTGGTGTCCAGTGTTGGTGTGTCACTTGGAGATTGGCAGCAAGGCCAATCCCTGAAAAGCTGGCCATCTTCTGGGCAATTTCTTCCCCTTCCCAATCGCTGGGTGGTCTCCCATCCAATACCTAATTATTATTCCCATCCCATAACTCTGCTCGGGGTTTTGCTGAGAGTGGCCAGGGTCGTCTGGATGCCGGATGCTTGTTGCAGGACGGGAAAGGAGACACACCGCAAAACACAGCTGCAGGCCCACTTAAGATTGCATTTTATTTGTATGCTCGGTGCCACGCAGCATTGCACCCAGTTTGCGGGTCTCTTATTTTGGTTGTGCTGTGCTTTATTCTGGCACCTGAAAAAGGGGGACCATTTTTTTCCCTGCGTTCCTTTCCCACCTGCTCCATCCCGATAGTCCTCGATTTTAGCGACCGTTTGACGTTAAAATGACACTGAAGAAAGGGTCTTAACGGCCCTTTTTCACACGGCCATTGCAGCGTCCCCGTGGCCAAAATTCAAACGCTTGGCAACTGACTTGTATTTATGACGGGCGCAGTGATCCCCTTTTGCCACCTCACGACAAGCCGGATTCACTTAACAACCGTGTTACTAACTGAAACAGCTGCAGTGATCCAATTAACAACGGTGGCAAGAAAGGTCGTAAAACGGGGCAAAACACTTAACGGCCGTCTCGCTTAGCGACGGAAACTTTGGGCTCAGTGGTGTGGTCGTAAGTCAAGGACCACCTTTTATTTATCTTCTCTGCTGCCTCGATGTTGTGATTTTTCCCGCGGACTCCGATTCCCCCCTCGGCGAAGGACCCCCCTCGCCCTGCCCCTCCCTCACCCGCAGCGCTTCCCTCCCCTCCCCCAGGTGATCAACGCCATCGAGCAGGACTACCGCCTGCCGCCCCCCACGGACTGCCCCACCTCCCTGCACCAGCTGATGCTGGACTGCTGGCAGAGGGACCGCAACGCCCGGCCTCGCTTCGCCCAGATCGTCAGCTCCCTGGATAAGCTGATCCGGAACCCCGCCAGCCTCAAGATCGTCTCGCGGGGAAACGGAGGGTAAGTGGGACACACACACACACACACACAAAAGACCTGGCACTTGGGCTATGCAGGCAGGAGCCTCTTCGGGGACTTCTGGAGGTGGGCAGAGCCCAGGGGTGTGCCCTCGCTGTGCCCATCAACTTTGCGGCTTTGGAAAAAGGGGGTTGTTTCATATGAACACAGGGAAAAGCTGAGGTGACTAATGGACGGCTTAAAAACTGGGGTGTCCGCCCTGGGCCACTTTAAGACAGTAGGAATAGAGTAGAGTAGAGCAGAATAGAAATTAGAATAGAATAGAATAGAACAGAACAGAATAGAATAGAAATATGAAGAATAGAATAGAATAGAATAGAATAGAATAGAATAGAATAGAATAGAATAGAATAGAATAAATATAGGAATGAAGAATAGAAATTAGAATAGAATACAACAGAACAGAACAGAACAGAATAGAATAGAAATATGAAGAATAGAATAGAATAGAATAGAATAGAATAGAATAAATATAGGAATGAAGAATAGAATAGAAATATGAAGAATAGAATAGAATAAATATAGGAATGAAGAATAAAATAGAATAGAACAGAACAGAATAGAATAGAAATATGAAGAATAGAATAGAATAAATATAGGAATGAAGAATAGAATAGAATAGAATAGAATAGAAATTAGAATAGAATAGAAATTAGAATAGAATAGAATAAAATAGAATAGAATAGAAGCTGGAAGGGACCTTGGAGGTCTTCTAATCCAGCCCCCTGCTCAAGCAGGAGAACCTATATACCATTTCAGACAAGGTCTAGTAGTGGACTTGTGGACTTCAACTCCCAGAATTCCCCAGCCAGCCGTTTTTTTCACTTTGCAGAACTCAAGATATATTACGTCTACTGCATTCCCTCCATCTATCAAGAAAGTTTTCCAATCAAAAAATGTGATAAAGTAGTCTAGCCACATTTGTTCTTGAAAACCCTTGCCGGCTAGGGAATTCTGGGAGCTGAAGTCCACAAGTTTTATTAAAGTGGCTAAGGTTGGACACCGCTGCTGTAAAGTTAATGGGGAAAAAAAAAACTACGAAAAATTTTACCAAAGGATGTCGGTTCCCAGTGCTCTGCTGATTCTATGCATTAGGGGTCTCCAGACTTGGCCACTTTAAGACTTGTGGACTTCAACTCCCAGAATTCCCCAGCTGGTAAGGATTCACCAGCATTCAGCATGGATAGGACAATGTGGATAGACCAGCTTTGTTGCATTTTTTGATAGGGTAACTTTCTTAATAGACGGTGGGATTGCAGTAGACGTAATATATCTTGACTTCCGCAAAATGAAAAAAAAAAAAAGAGCTGGCTGGGAAATTCTGGGAGCTGAAGTCCACAAGTTTTAAGCTGCCCATTGGTCATCTCGGCTTTTTCCCCCATTCGGCTCTAGGGGGGCTCTTACAGGCTTTGGGAGGGGCCCCTCAGCCTCTTGTATCCAGATGTTTTGGTCCCCTGCCCAGGATTCACCTCTGGGTTGGGGGTTCTCCTATGGGAGAGCCCCCCTCCCGTCTCCTTGTGAGTCTGACTGGCAGATGACCTGTCCGAAATGGTAGGCAACCTTGGCTCTTTTATGACTCGTGGACTTCAGTTCCCAGAATTCCTGAGCCAGCTCTGCTGGCTCAGGAATTCTGGGAGTTGAAGTCCACGAGTCATAAAAGAGCCAAGGTTGCCTACCCCTGGTATAGGGTTACCTGCCTGAGCAGGGGGTTGGACTTGATGACCTCCAAGGTCCCTTCCAACTTTATTATTATTATCTGCTCCCCCCTCCAGGCCGTCCCACCCTCTGCTGGACCAGCGGCTGCCCCATTACTCCTCCTTCGGCTCGGTCAGCGACTGGCTGCACGCCCTCAAGATGGACCGCTACGAAGACAGCTTCGCCAACGCCGGCTTCACCTCCTTCGAGCTGGTCAGCCAACTCTCGTCCGAGTGAGTGGACGGGGGGTCCGGAGGGGAGGCGGAAGGGCAAGAAAGGCAGAACGAGGACTCCCCTCACCCCCTCCCCTCCCTCGGTTTCCCTCCGCAGGGACCTGCTCAGAATCGGAGTGACCTTGGCGGGACATCAGAAGAAGATCCTGTCCAGTGTCCAGAACATGCGCGTCCAGGGCAAGGCTGGCACCTCCACAGCGGCCAAAGCGGGACAGTACTGACCGGCACTTGGCCGGAGAAGCACCCATTTGCCTGTCTCTTGACTTCTTTTTTGAGGAAGGGGCAGCCAAGAAGTGGCCTGGGGGGGACGCCTCTTCTCGACTTGCCCGTCAGCGCCCGTCTCCTCTGCTCTTCTCGCTGCCCCCCTCCCCATATATTCGCCCCTTCCCCACTTTGGGGGAGGATGCCCAAGGAGACTGAAGTCCCAGACTGACCCAAAGACCCTCTTGGAAAGTTGCCTTCCCCTCCGGCTTTGTGGCAGGGAAATTGGGGAGACCCCCCGCCCAGGACCGAGGCCACGAACCGGGCCCCTCCCTCACCAAGCTCCGAGGAATATCATGCCAAAGAAGACCAGCTCTTCCCAGCCGGTGCCCCCTCCCCCAGCTGTGGGGATCAAGTTTCTGGGGGGGGGGTGCAGAAGTGGGGAGGGTACAAAACCCCCTCTCGGGGGGTCTGTTGGAGGAAGACAGACGGGGAAACTCACCCCCCCCTCCACCTCCCCCGGCCTCGAAGGGAGATGAGACACCCTGTCACTCCTCTGCTGACTCCTAGCAACATGAAGCGAGACTTGAACCCAGCACCTCTTCTGCACAAGGTGGAGATGCAGCTGGGAGGTCTGGGTGACCAGACGGTGCTCCCTCCCTCCCCCCCCCACCAGGAAGCCAAAGAACCGGGAGCTTTGGGGGGTGGGCTGTGCAGACCCTGCCCACACAAGGGGGGCAGCTGAAGTTGTGGGAAGGCCGGGACTGGATAGGTGAAGCAGGCCTGGCCCTCGGTGACAATCAGCAACGCTGCCCCCAGTGGTGAAGAAGAGGGGTTGGGGGCTCCCTTCGGCCCCTGGAGACCCCCGGGGGTCACCGCAGAATCCGAGCCAAGGGGCTGGCTTTGTAACAGTTCTTTAGCCTTCATATTGAAGGTGGTCCTATATATTGCTTTTTATTAAAACAAATTGTGTATCTTCTAAGCCAAAATTGAGGGGAAGGGGCTGCTGAGGGGTGGGGGGGGGCTGGGGCCGGTGGATGGCCGGTGGGAGATTTTTTTGGGGGGGCTAAGTTTCAGGATGGCCCCCCTCCCTTTACCAAAC